CACTTGGCGCGCCGCCAATCGCCGCGCCACCACCTGAGGCGTCGCCCCGGCCAACCGGGCGCCGCCACGTCGCCCCAACGCTCGCCTCCTCCAACCCGCGCCCTCCACGCGTCCCCCTGGCCTCCCAGCGCCGCCCAGGGCCTGGCCGGCCCATCCGAGGCCCGCCCCGGGCTGGATCCGGGCCGAGCGCCCCGCGCCTCCCGCTCTCGATCTGGATCGAGGGGAGGAGCCCCTCGATCCCGAGCTCCCCGTCGACCCGCCGCCGGCCATCGTCTGCGTCGCCTCGCCGGAAGGCTGTGGCCTCGCCGGAACCCAGATCCGTCGTCGCCCGGGCACCCCGCCGTTGCGCAGCCTCACCGTCGCCCCTCGGTGTCTCTCCGCCGCCCGCCGTCGCCAACCCCCTGTGCTGCCATGGAACTCCGCCGGAGTCGCCGTCCCTCTCTGCCGGCCCTCCTTCCAGCCAGATCCGGCCGAGGCTCGGCCTCCGGCACCCGTCCCCGGCGAGTCCCGTGCCTCCCGGCGTCCTCCCCGCCTTCGCGCAGCCGCGCGGGGAACCTTCACCGCCGCCGCCATGTCCACTCGGGAGCGAGCAGAGGAGCCGCTCGCTCCCTGGTGCCCGTTGACCACACCGCCGTGGGCCCCAAGAGCCGAGGCCCAGTCCAGATCCACCGGCCCGATCTGCCTCCTCCCTCTCCACCGTCCGGGCCAAGGCCCATGGTGAGGCCACCCCCAGCGCCCCCTCCTTTTTTTCTCTCCTGTTGTGGCCCAGCCAGTTTCGGCCCATATCATTTTTTTTCCAGTCCTACGATTTTAGCATTATCCGAGGAATTACAGATTTGCAGAAACCCCCTTGCACTTCATGCATATAATAACTCATAATCTGTGCATCATATGTAAAAACTTTTAACATGTAAAATACTTAGAATTTTGTGTAGTTTAATAATATGCCAATTTCATCCATGTTTAAAATGTTTAACTTGTTGTTTATTTAAATTTGCTCCTATGCCATGTTAAAATGATTTAATTCATAACTAAATAACCGTAGCTCCGAATTAAATAAACTTTATATGTATTTGGGGTGGAAAAATGCCTAGTTTAACATGGTCCACTTTATTTTCCTGTTTAACAACAATAAAATATGTTTTAGGGCAGAACAGTACCAAATTTGAATATTGCTCATGAGGATTTTCCGGAATTGTTGTTTATTCTTCCGGCCTCATTTAAACTTGCTTAAATAGTTAGTTTCCATTATGCTTCACCCCTTGCCACGTTTAACAACATTTAATATTGTTGAGTAGCTCATAACCGAGAGAGAACTAAATAATTGTCGTGGTGTTTCGTCAATATGCAACTCGTTGCATATTGAGCTCCACTTAATTTGTAGGGTTGCTTGTGCTCTTTGCCATGCCATGCCTCATTAAACCGGACATGCATCATACTTGATTGCGCATCATGCCATGTTTATGTGATGTTTGTTTACTATGTTGTGTGCTTCTTTTCCGGTGTTGCTTCTTCGGGTTGGTTCC